TTATTTAAAGTTAAAAGCACCAATGTTCCTACGACGATGTGAACAATGCTATATCTAAAGTAGTTGATTGATTGTTGTTGATACGGAAACTTTCAGACGTCGAAACCGCTAGATTGGTTTACGTCAGCTACTTTCACAGTCTAATGACATACGGCATTTTGCTTTGGGGTAATGCCGCCGATATCAATAGAATCTTTGTCCTGCAGAAACGTGCAGTTAGGGCAATTTACAATCTGGGCCCCAAAGTATCTTTGAAAGATAAGTTTAAGGAAATTAACATTCTTACACTAGCCTCACATTACATTTATGAAAATGTAATTTATGTTAAGAGGAGTAGTAATTTCTTTATGAAAAATAGTGACAGACATAACATAAATACGAAGAATAAAAATAAACTAGCTGTTCTTGATAGTCATCTTCACAAAGTCAAAAAATCATTTAAGGGGCAATGTATACGCTTTTATAACAAGATTCCGGTTGATATACAAAATTTGTCTTACACGAGGTTTAAAACTATAGTGAAACAAAAACTTTATACTAAAGGTTATTATACAACTTCTGCGTACTTGGATGACAAAAAATCAAATGGTAGTAACCCGCTTAGCTCATGGAGGTAGTCTCGATCTCCGATGTTTCAAAACAAAAAGAAAAATATATTGTAAATGTTGAATGTGTACAAATGTTATTCACAAAGATCAAACCCTAGAGTTTCTTGCTCATTCTTCTCAGGGGCATCTGCCTTACGAATGAGCGGTAGAGTTTAATATTGTGACGATTTCAAGTGTAATAATGCTTACCTATGAAATAAAGATTATTTTGAATTTGAATTTTAATTTGAAAAATAAATTTATTACGGAGTGAAATTTAAGCATAAAATTAAATCAAAATACAATTTTACTAGATAAAATTATAATTTGATTTAAATTAATATCAAGTTCTTAGGTTTTTGCGATTGTTACACATAGGAAATGAAACTATTTTTCCGGAGTTAAATCGCGTATATATGTTTTTTCAAACAAACCGACGTTTCTGACCCTTTACAGGTCACATGGTCACGATTGACTGAACGTCGGTTTATTTGAAAAAACAAATATAGGCGATTTAAATCCGGAAAAATAGTTTCATTTCCTATGATTTAGACAAAATTTGTATTGAATTGATATTCAATTATTTTTTGTGAAATTACTCCTTTTTTGTGACATTTCTCAAAGATGGCGCTACGGCTAACAAGTCTTTGAAAACCAAATACAAAGTTCCGACAACAAGCACATAGAGAAATTCGTGAGGTCCGCTGGTTCGTTCCGTAACTTAATCGGCATAGTGTCTGGCATCGGTTGCTTGAAGACATCGGTTCGAATTCGGCCGGTTCAACGGATTTTTTTCTGAGTGTTCGATCTTTGTATTAATAATTATAACAAAGTAGTGGAATAATTTCACAAAAAATAATTGAATATCAATTCAATACAAATTTAATTACAGTGAACAGCGACATCTCTAGCCAAGCCTGGTAGCTGTAAAGTTACCTAACAGAATTAAAAATTTAAGAAATTACATTAAATATAAAATACCAAAATTATCTCACCCTTTTCACATGTAGGAATCCAGTGCCACAATAATCAGGATTCTGTTGTAGACCTTGCGAACACGTATTATACACAAATTGTTTTTATTATTTGGTAACGACTACATTTAATATAAAAATATGGAAGTGTAAAGTAGACAGGCCAAAGTGTTCCATCCTGTAGTAATAGTTCGAATTTATAAAAACATAGTAAGAAAATACATTTATTTGCATACCACAACTAACACCATACAAGAAAAAAACAGCACAGTAAAAAAAATAACAACGAAAATATAAAAACATTCACAACATATTATATTAACATATATTTAACTTCAAAACAAAATCAAAAACAAACGAGAACTACATGAAGCTACAGTAAAATTGTATATTGTAAAATTGGCACACTACGTCTCCCGCTCCGATTAGCTTTCCTCTAACTCTAAGGTTGTCTGGAAGAGATCGCTCTTAGCGATAAGACCGCCTTTGCCCACATTAGTTTTAAGTTGTTTATGTACTATTCTTGTTCTTGTGTGTGAGCAATAAACTGTTTATCTATCTATCTATCTATCTATCTACAGATTATTTAAATGAACAAAAAAGACACTCGGTATAAAGATTGACCACAAGGCCCTGAATAAAGCCACCCTAATAATAATAAGTATAAAGATTAATTGAGTGGTGCCACCTGTAGTAACAGAAAGGTCACTAACTCAGTATTTGCTGGAAAACGTAATGCGTTCCTAGCACTATTTTTATTATTTGTAAGACCCTAAATTATAATTAATAAATAATTTACCTTATTAATTAATAAATAAGGTCACGGAACAACATACGCAATAATACCTACTTAATAAAACATTTATCATCATCATCCACAGCCCAACTTGAACTACTGCTGGGTATAGGCCTCCCGTAGTTTCTGCCTGGACGCTACTTTAACCACTTCTTGTCCGCCATTCGGTTGTCCCTTTACTCCAACAACATATTAAACGTATTTAAACCTACCTTGCTGATATCCCTTTTGATCCTGGAAATGGTTAACTGAAGCAGAGGCCAGAAAAAATAAATATGTACAATAGAAACAATGCAGCTGCAAAGACTCGTAACGTTGCAGTGAATATTAATTTCTTCCGTCATAACTTTAGTTGTTAGCTTTCATGTGAGACAAGTTCAAAGGAGTCAATGAGTTGGGAATATAGGTGGTTCCAGTACTGAATACGCGAATACAGAAATTGAGAGAAATGATACTTTTAAATACGATTATTTATCAGACAAAAAAGATACAAACAATCTGAAAATATCAAGGACTTACAATTATATGGACGTCGGGTCCGCGCTAAAAAGTGTCCGAACTTACAGGGCGTTAAAATCGTATACAGAGCGTCATTCACGCTTTAGTCTTCGTTTGTTCGACTGACAGCGAAGCAAGCAAAATTAGACAGTACTGCGATGACATTACAATTTAAATTCAACGTTTTAGCTTTTTCATATTCCTTTACATGTCACTACGTTTAAATAGGTTGACTTGAGACATTTTTTTCGTGGTTTTTGTATTAGACCCGTCGTCCATTTATTTGTAAGTCAATGGAAAATATCGAGTTTTTCACGGTTACGACATATTGGAAATGATACTATTTTTTCCGGTTCTAAATCAGCTCACCATCAGGCTTGTAATGAAACTGAAATGTTCGTTTGTTTGAAAAAATAAATATACGAGATTTAGATATGGAAAAATAGTTTCATTTTAAATCTGAAAATTCTTGTAAATAAATTAGTGTTCCATATTTTTTGTGTGACACACACAATGTAAAATATCTATTACATTGTAAATTTGACGCTGCAAAAATTCATCCGTTTCTCGACCGTATGTTGTAAACTGATATCGAAATAGGCAAAATCTGGAAGTGATACACATAGAGTGAACAATACTTTCCCTACAAATCTTGAAATTATTGTATTGTATTTTGTTATATATTCTTGATGCGTAATTAGCAATTATTTTGCTACGGAACGGTAGTGCAGTTAAAGGACAATTTCTAATAATTCCAGGATTTCCGTGAGAAGTGTTATTCACTCTATGAGTATCATATGAAGTTTAGATAAATGTACCCTGCCTATTACGACCTCTGATTACGAGCTATAATGACGGACAGTCTTGATAAAGCTTTACGGAGTACCTATAAATTCCCTAAAGCTATCATAAACCTCGCTCACCTCTTATTCTCCAAAGTATCTTCAGGCTTTTTATCACACTAACTGTTTATATGATAGTCGTCCTGAATTTCGTTGAGTGAAATGTTTAATCTAGGGTTTCGTTCCATTGTGTTGTGCTTTACAAAACAATGAACAGTGATGAGGTCAGTTCAATAAATGCGTGTACTTAAACAATCAGTCAGTCCCATGATGATGAACGAGGCCCTATGAATGGAAAAACAGTTGCTTATGGGGCAATTTACATTGAATAGAAGTCACTTAGGCGGACAAATGGGTTTCAAAGAGAGTACAGTCCTATTGACTTGTGAGAAAGCCTATGTCATGCCGTGTCGTCTTTTCTACGTGAATTGCGCCCAAGAGGTGATGACTAAAAATTGTATGTAAAAGAGTTAAAGCTAGATAAGGATAAAACATGTAGCTTTACTTAGAGTTCTGAAAAAGGAGCAATCGTTATTCTTAACACGTGGGCTCTGGTTTTACACTAAATTTAATATTGTAATTAACTGTTTTGTATTTTTAATTTTACAAAACTTACTACTACATTAAGTTTTACAAATTATTTGTAAAACTTAATGTAGCGTAAATTGGAACGTTTTCTTTGTAAAATTAAAAATAAGGTATTTAATTAATAACTATTGTTTTGTATTTATTACTATATTTGAATATATTCGGAACCACGATATTGTACCATTGAAGATAATTTGTTTTAGCACGCATGGAATACTCTGATCGAAGTTATTAAGGAGCCCGTGAGAATCAGAATTGGCAAGCAAGGAAGTGAGTTCCCCACTGTAGCATTGATGACTTTATAACTGGAGTATATAACAAACATATTGCACCAATGTTGATATTATTAAACTAAAAACTTAAAACGATTAAAAAAATTACACGAGAAATCAAAATTTTATAGTTTTTCTTAATGCTGGCCGAAGTTTGCCATTGTGCGTTATAGGAGAGTAAAATAAAATCACACATTAACTATCATAACATAATTTTAAAACAATGTAGTAACTTTTCACTTATCGACATTGCTTTTAGGCACTACAACAAAGTCACCGAAAGCTGTGATATTGGTTCATAAACGAATATCAGATTTGGGGGCTGACTCAGTGAGAGAGGCTCAGGGGGAAATAGGAAAGATGCTAGCGCCATCAACGTCGGCAACACCAAGACCTGTAATGTCGTCTTCGAAAACCACAACACTATCTTCGACAATCACAACGCCATCTTCGAAAACCATAACGCCATCTTTAGCCGAGAAGCCGGTACAATACAAGCAACAGAAACTAATTATACCCATAATAAAGCCTATAACTTACACGGAATGGGCTACTTTCCCGGGCGTGGTGGCGGTCACTGACAAGTCACTGAAATTCACAGGACGATTCAATGAAGGTACGGATTTACAAATGAATGAAAGTATTTTACAAAATAGTAATTATGAACTCGAAACGAGTAACCAGTTTGATACAAACGAAGAATTAGTTCTGATATTGTAGTTCAGGAAAAAATGTATGCTTGAACGAAATAAATCTGTTAGCGAATAATCTTTAGTCTTTTAATGAAATTCGATGTAGTGTAGTTCCCTTTGCTAGAACAGTAACAATTTGACTGTCTTTGGGGCGATTAAATTGTAATTATTAAATTATTCATAAAGCTAGTGCCTTTCTCCTACGAGCGAAATTATCACATTGCTATCATTAAGATAATATCACCAAACGATGAGATATAGATCACTCGGACAAGAAAATACTGAGTGATGTACATTTTAAGATTTCCAGAAACCTTTCAAGGAGTTTGTAGAGTACTCTATTACTTCATCACAAACTATACGGACAATAGAGACTATACCACCGTGGAGGAAGATAAGAATTCCGGTGGTCCTTGAACCCAAGTACATAACGGTCAATGATTGGAATAATTTGCAAAGACCCATGTTTGCTCAGATACATCAAATAACAAAAGGTGACATTTCTCTCATTTCTACATAATGTATTAAAAAATGCTACCGGCGTGATAGTGATAGAAGATTTTGTTTTCTCATTAATAATTTCTACGGAACGGACGCTGCGTATTATGTTTTATTTTGAGCGAATTGAAAATACGTTTGCTAAAATTGTGTTGTTATGAGATGGACAAGAAATGAAATGTGGTCAGAGTTTTATTGCAACTTGTCTACAAACGCCATTCTCAAGAACCCATACCTGCGGGAGTGATTGGTCGAGAGAATCTCTTCTTCCGGCACCTAACTAACGCTGGGAGTGCCAAGCAGAAGCTAACTTCTTTCTATCTAAATTTTTTTGCTATCTATACAGTGTCGGGTGGCAAATAAAGTTTTTTTATCATTTCAGGAAGTACACAAAGCACTCTCTCCAAAATTATGAAATATTATTATACCGATGGATTTTATAAAGCAGAGGCAACAGAGCCGTGCTATTCAAAAGTCAGGTATTTATTTAAAAGTCGTCTTTTTGAGAAAAATGATTGTAATTAATACTTCTTTCATCAACATACATTCATAATTAGCGGTATGTTTTTTAAAAGTTTTATTATTTGAAAATAGTGTATGTATCGTTTTTAATGTAGTCAACATTTTAGTCTGTACTCTTAAATTTATTGTTTATGAGTAACATCAATATAGGCCTATCACAATTTGATTGGTAAATGTTTTTGATCGATCCAACGATAATGCATAATTTATACTAAGTTTTTGAACTATTTATTATTAAAATGTATATTGTTAGTTGAAGGTTGAAGTGCATAAAAAAGAATTATATCGAAGAGATATTCATGTTGGACGATGAGTGGATGGATGGTTTAAGATGAATGCACATTGTACTGCACTGTATATACAAATATAGTGAATAAACATTGAATCAATATTTTAGAACACTATCGCCGCGTCATTAATTGATTAGGAACTTCATTAGTTTGTTGTTATTACAGTCATGTAATCTTCTTCTTCTTATTGAATCAGTAAGTACGCATCTCATACAAACGAAAAACAACTTCAAGCGTATTATGAATTGATAAACGTCAACGAATTGCATCAGCGCCAAATCTAAGACGATCATGGACAGGCATAAACGCTGTTATGCTGTCATAATTAAAAATTTACCTCATCATTATACATTACATTTTAAAACATTGAATAAGTGCGTTCCAGTACAAAAAGGGAACTTTAAAAATTTGAACAACCACATGAATTATTTTATTTTTAATTCGGGACTTAATCACGTATAAAACATTTTAATTACCTCGACGTTTCGAGGTTCTTGAGGTGATCACCTAAGGACGTAATCCCCTTTCAATCTCCGGGCGTTTACAAGATTGATTGCAGTTTTGGGAGTTTCTATATTGGGCAGACAAAACGCACCATAGTGGAAAGAGTCAAAGAACACATTGCGGCTGTTGAGAACCGTCAGCGCAATAAGTCTGCAATCGCTGAGCATTTGCTGGAATCAGGACTAAACCACTGGATTGAGCTTCATAATCCCAAGATCCTTTCTACGTCATCACTGTAGTAGAATAGTACGTGAAGCTATTGAAATTAAAAAAACACCGTAATTTCAACCGAGAAGACGGTTTTAAGCGTTCATCGTCATGGGATCCAGTTATCAGCAAATGAAAACGACATCAAGTATCTCCCGACAAGTTGTCGGATGTCGTGAGTATTGTATGTCGATGTAGTGACAACCCTAGTGGACAAATAAATAATGAAGATCAAGTGCGGGTAGTTAGAAAAACTCGCACGGCTAAAAGATGCTGACACCCGCCTCTTCAGTCCCTTCGAGACCATGGACGTTGCAATACGTCCGAAACGTTGATGTAATTAAAATATGTTTTATACGTGATTAAGTCCCGAATACAAAATCAAAAATAATGTGTGAAAATCGTGAATAAAATTAATTATTACGAACGGCTTAAGGCGTGTTTGGGCGTGCCAATGTGTGTTTACCTTTTAAATCACTTAAATCCCATCGATAGCAATATATGTCAGTATCCACTTCTCGTCCCAATGTCTCTTCTGTCGCTCAGAGGTTATTTACTCTATTCCTAGTACATTCGCCTTTTTTTTTATAAACCTTTTCTTTAAATGTTTTTGATATCAATTCTGTTTTGAGATTTTCTGAATTTCTAATTAGAAATTATTTGAAATAAAGCAATCTGACTATACTATGTATTTTAAGCCTCCTTGGGCATAAATGGACAGGAATGTCGCTTATCATTGTTCGTCCCGTCGTCATTTGGTATCATAAAAGAAAAATTGAGTTCAAACATATCAAAGTGTTGGCAAACTGCTTAGTCTATGGCAGAGTATTATGGCAGTAGAATTGTGAAAAGAAACCCAGACCCTTACAGACTGAAACTGTCAAAAAGTTTAGACATCTGTACAGTTTGGTGCACTATGTTTTTATAAACATTTCATGCATGTTGTTTAATGATTAGGAAAGTCCATTATTTTTGTGTGAATTCCAGTTAATTGCTTAATGACTAAAGTCCTTAGATTCCTCTGTTCTGATCCATGCCCGGCAATGGGAAGTAAAGGTGGATAGTGTGAACCCATCTGATAAACTTGGTAGTTAAGATTCTTCTTCTTCTCGGGGTGCCATCTCCTATCGGAGGTCGGCTATCATTGTGGCAATTTGAGTCCGTGAAGTTGCGGCTTGGAATAATTCTGTGGTCCTTATGTCGAACCACTCTGCAAGATTTTGAAGCCATGTGGTTTTTCTACGACCACGTCCTCTGCGGCCCTGGATTTTTCCCTGCAGAATGAGGTGCAGCAGAAAGTATTTATTACTCCGCATGATGTGCGTGAAATACTGCAGCTTTCTCTTTTTTACTGTTTTTAGGAGCTCCAAGCCTTTGTGCATCCTCCGCAATACTTGTCATTGGTGACACTATCCGTTCACGATATTTTCAAAATTCTCCGATAAACCCACATTTCGAAGGCTTCTAACCGTTTACATAATGTCTGAGTTAGTGTCCATGCTTCTACTCCGTACAAAAGAATTGAAAATATGTAGCACCGCACTAAACGGCCTCGTGTCGATAGTTTGAGACTACGATTGTGAAGGAGGTGGCTCATTTTAATAAAAGCAATCTAGCTTGCTCTATGCAACATCTAACTTCTATGCTACGGTCTTCCTGGTCGTTTACTATACAGCCAAGGTATTTAAAAGAACGGATCCTGTCAAGTGGTTTGTTCCTAGCGTGGAGGATAGCAAACGTCTGCGGAGCACGGCCGACAATCATATACTTAGTCTTTTTGATGTTAATATTCAGACCGTTCTGTGCGCTGATCGACTCTACACGATAGAGCAGTTGCTGTAGATCTTCCATGGAGCTGGCAAGGAAAATCGGTTCGTCGGCATATCGAATGTTATTGGTGCGACGCCCGTTTACAACAATCCCTTCGGTAGTCTTTAAGAACTTCTGAAAAAATCTCCTCCGCGTAAACGTTGAAAAGCAACGGTGATAATACATCTTTGTCTCACTCCTCGTAGTATCTCCACATCATCTGCGAATTCTTGCTCTACGCGTACATTTGCTATCTGTTGCCAGTAAAAATTTTTAATCACTACGATGTCTCGAGTTCTTAGGTTTTAGTGTTTTTTAGGCACTAAGATGTCTTTAAAATCTAGGCCTATCCTTTCCAAGATCTGTATCAACTTGTCATGTTTCACATAATCAAATGCTTTTTCATAGTCGATGAAACAGATGTAAGCGCATCGACTCATGTCCCAACAACGTTGCATAAGTATTTTGTAACCAGAAAGTGCGTCGTGTGTTCCACAGCCATTTCTAAAACCGAACTATGTATCTGAAATGTCATCTTCATACTTCCGGTATAGTCTTTTATGAATAACTTTGAGAAACACCTTCAGGACGTAACTCATTAATGGTATGGTGCGGTACTCATTACCACGTCTTGCGGTGCTGATTTTTGGCAAAGCTATAAAGGTAGAGTGGAGCCATTCTGAAGGAATGATACCAGAATTATAAATTGAATTGAAAAGGTGTACAACAATATCTAGGTGTTCATATTCTAACAATTTTAGGATTTTAACGGGAATTTCGTCTGGTGCAACTCCTTTCCCGCTTTTCGCAGTTTGAATTGCGTGGGAAACTTCGTCCTTTGTAGTAGGTGGTCCAATTTGTTGTGCACATATGTACTCGTTACTCGAACGTTGATCGTGAAATAACTCTTCAATATACTCCTTCCATATCCTTAATCGGTCCTCAACTGTCATGGCATATCTATCGTCTTTATCTAGTAGAGTGGTAGCGAGTGGTCTTTTCTTTTGCCATATTAAGTCATTGACTTTCTTATGCATATTGAAGGAATCGTGCTTGGCATGTAATACCTCTATCTCTGAACATTTGTCGTTAATCCATAGGTCTTTGGCCTTGATACATTTTCTTTTCACCTCTTTATGAATCTCCTTGTACTTTTGAGGATCCTTGTACTTTGCCAGTCGTCTCTGAGTCATTAGGTCCATAAGTGGTGGTGGTTAAGATTAACTATCTATAATAGGCTAATGTGCTGTTGAAGTTGATGATGATGGCGTACAAACCGACTGTCGGCTAAACGGTCCACTTTGTAGAAAAATTAACATCATGTTACATTGAGAGACCAAGGAGGTATCCTAAACATTTTAAGTTTATGTCATTGCAGTGGGTATCTCTACCATTTAATACAGAACAGTGTAACTTCACTGAAACAGGTAGGGACGTTTCTTTTTCATTTATAATAGTTATTCGTCCCGCCATTTGAGGAGCACTGCCTCTGCGCCCCTATGTGCCTGTAATTTCACTGTCTGTCATATCAATTTCAGTCTTATTCAGCAAAGAAACAGAATTGGTATCACTATTACTTGTGTTTAAATTTTGGAACCTTTTTTCTGGTTATTGTATTTTTATAGCTACTTAATAATGTTATATTTAAGATGTGTTTATCTTGTATATTTTTAAGTGAATAAATAACATGCATAGTTTTTGTAATTTTTTTCGCACTATCAAAGTAATCTTTATATTTCAGCGGAAGTTTATTGATGTATGACACTAAAAAGCATAACTGAAGCAAAATGTCCTAAGGTAGTTTATAACTGTAAGATCTCTTTTAGGCATATGCGAGGAATGCTACGTTGGCAGAATATGCATATGATGTCAATCCACGAACTCGTGACAAAGTTTTTACGAGTAAGTTGAGCTAAAATGGAATTTGTGGGTAAAGGATGGACGGATTTATAAAAAGCAAAATTTCTTTTTTTTAACCGACTTCAAAAATGGAGGAGGTCCTCAATTCGACTGTACTTTTTGTGTATATGTTACGCAATTACACCGGTTTTGTGGATAGATTTTGATGTTTCTTTTTTTTTGGAAAGTGGGTAGCTTGATCCCATTTAAATTTGAAATAAAATAATCCGCCTCCTAAGGGTGGCAAACTAGGGGATGAATCCAGTCTCGCGCACTTTCCGGTAACCGATTTCA